TATATTTTTATTTATTTATTTATACATGCATAGTATTAAAATTATACTGAAGGGCCCATGAAGAATGAAGGTCATCCCAAGCCTGCTGTCGCTGGTGCCGGAGCTTCTGCAAGATGCCATCTTCGATGGCGTCGAGGTCGTCCCGAACCAGCCTTGGAACTTTGGAGCTGAAAAAACCGAGCAAGGCGGCTCCGCACTGCCATGCACAAGCGAGTTGAGCCCATTTACTTCCCGCTGCTCTCGCCTAGGCATCGCGAGATCATTGCGACCGTGGCGAAGAAACGCCGCACTGTGAGAGCGGGCCTACGACATCCTGGGTCTCTCGCTTCGGAGCCCTCGTTGAGAAGGACAGGGTTTGGAACTCCAGGTTTAGGGCGCTCATGGCAAACTTTAGGATGATGAAATCAAGAGGCTACACCACCCAACGACAATACAGGTTGATGGCTAGCAACATTCTGCACTATAGGCTACCATTGCTGTGATCATGAGCACTACAGTTGGTGCATCAGGGACGTGCCATAAAACAGCTTCAACAGACCTTGCTATCCGAGGAATGTCAGGAACAGAACACCAGAAGGCATTAAGGTGATTATAATGTTTTTGGATTGGAAGGCTTGTGGCAAAAGCCACGGGCAACCGAAGCTTTACCCACGCGTGTGAAACTGCCTTTTTGGCGGCTTTAGCCGGAAAAGGTGAGAGGGACAATGCCCTGTAGCCCTGTAAGGGACCTGATGAATTAACCCCTGGCCGGAGTTTGATGATTTCTAAATTGGATTCAATTCTTGTGCCGAATGTGCTGCAGTTCAGTTTCAGGCTTCTCCCAGGCTCAGGGGCCGGGGAGCTAATTTGGAGTAGGGACGCCTGTTGGCGTCGATGCCTCCCTACATACGTTGACTCGCACTTCAGGTACAGCCATCTGCTAGCTTTTGCATGCAGCCAGCACTGCCTAGGAAAGGCCTGCTGCAGATTTCCTGAAAAAGCCTGTGTGATGTGCCTGTGCCCTGTCGTGCCTACGTTGGTCCGCGAGCGCACGACTGATGCGGAAAAGGTCGGCCACTGGTGGGCCCTGCAACCTGCAACCGCAATTCCCACAACCTATGGGCGCATTGTGCGAGGAAGCGTTTAGCCTTGCAGCGCCTCTCAGTCAGCTTCCCGCAGCCTTCAAGAGGCAACACTGTGACGCTGGCCGAAACCCCAGAAAGCGCCTTGGCGCCTGAGAAACCTTCTAGTTGATTTGAAACTTCCAGGAGCTGCCTTGGCCTTCTCTTGGAAGTTGGTGATCGCCTGCTGATATGCCAGCCGCACAGCACGGAACCTCGGCTGCCAAGCTCTCCTTTGCCAACAGCGAGGCCAACAGCGAGGACGACAGCGAGGCCGAGACGTGTCGTCGCAGCTCTGGAAGCCCTTGTCCGGATGATGGAGCAGGGCCAAATCCCTGAAGGCTTGCCTGAGCAACGTCGAACTCGGAGAGAAAAGAGACACCCCTCAAAGTGTCCTTGCCGGGCCACTTCACTTCCTGAAGTGTGGCCGTTGCCGTGAGGCCCAAGACAGCGTGCCAAGCTCCTCCGGCCTGGCAAAGCCCAGCTCTGTGCACAACATTGCACAACCACAGACAGGCCGTGCAGACTCGAATAAGCTTCTGAGCCCCTCCCTCAACTCAAGAAGCCCCTCTCTCCGACTACCTAGGCACGATGCCCTCCGGCACCTCCTGAATCCGCTGCTTGGACTCCTCGGCTCGGCGCTTTTGCTGCCTCAGAGGAGTTCTGCACGGAAGCGGAGGCGGCCTTGACCTTTGGGTTTCTGTGGGCATCTGGGTCCCTGGGTGCGCCGAGAAGCTCCAGGCGAAGGCGACGGCGCTCTGCCTGCCCCGACAGAACTCCGGTGTGCTCCCCGGTGTGGCAGTTGCCAAGCGACTGTCCGGGCTTTTTTCCTCCGCTCAAAACGACGAGGATCGTCAGCCATGGAGGAGCTACACTTCTACGATGCCTATGTACACCATTTGCGGACACGATGTGTCAGATCACGTCAAGGGCCTTTCAACAGAACCACGTGGCTAGACTCTAGGGCCCTAGGGCTCCAGGATAAACGCTCGATTCCGTGTGGCAAGCTAGGCGTGATCTGCGCACTTTCTTTAGGCCGGGCTTCTTCGTGGCTGCCGCGTGAAGCAAAAGACAGAACCCCAGTAAGTAGACAGTAAAGGGTGGGCCGTTTCCTGAAAAGGTCGTCTTAAAGCACAGAACACAAAGGGAGATGCCGTCTATGGGGCTCTAGGGCCTAGGGGCTCTTTCGGGCAGATCGGCCTCTGGCCTTGCGGCCCGTAGCAGGAGGCTCGGGTCTCAGGTGGGTGGCCTTGGTGATGATACGCTTCCCAGTCGCCAGCTGGACGGTGACCATTCCCGGATCCACTCGGAGGGGATCGGAGGGAAGGACGAACACAGCTTGACCGTGAAACTCAGGCTTGTTCTTGAGGTGGAGGTAGACCTTTTGCCCAACCCGGAACTTGCACAAGGGCTCCTCAGGCTCTTCCGTCTTCTGCCGGAGAGACTTGAGAGCTGGCATGGTCTTGTCTCCAGGCCTGGGATCAGCATCGGAATCTTCCGCCTCCGAGCCGCTGTCGACAGGCTTGAGCTTGTCACGTCGAAGGGAGAGGTGTTGGCCAGAGCGCAACTCCACGGTGACGCGCACGTCCTGGGCATCGATGACCAAGGCCCTCTGGCCATTGAACTCCACGGATCGTGTCAAGCCTTTTACGATGACCTCGTCGCCTTTCTGAAGGCCTTGCTTTTCTTTCTGCTTCTTAGCAATCGGAGCGCAGCGCAGGACGTTGGAGAGCTTGACGGACAAGGTCTTGCCGCCAGAGACCATCTTGATCTCCACTCTCCGCTCGCTCCGCTCGCTCCGCTCCTTGCCCGCCTCGGACAGACCGACCACATAGCCTTCTTGGCCATTGAGACCTGGTGTTTTCAAGTTTGCCAAATGGACGAAATCTCCGATACTCAGATCCTCTTCGAGCTGGGTCTCAGCTCGATTCAGGAACTCCAGTGGTGGCAGTGAGTCCCCCGACTCAGAGGCCGCAGCCTCCGCGTCGGCATCGTTTTGGGGTGCCTCCGCTGCCTGCTGCTCTTCCGTCTCCTCTTTTGCTGCCGTCTCGGCTCCGACTGCCTCCCGTGCGGCCGGGGCGCCTGAGCGTCTTGCAGCCGAGACGTGCAGGTCGTAGGAAGGGGCTTCTGCCTCCTCGTCCTCGTCTGTGTTCGTGTCATCCCGCGTGTCGAGCGGAGGCATCGAGCCGTCGGAGCTCTCAGACCTCTCCACAGGCGGCGGCGCCTCGGATGTCTCAGCTTCTGCTGCGTCGGGCACCGTCCGAAGGACACCGTGCAGGGGCGGCATGTTCTCTTCGTCCGTGCTGTTGTCCTCACACTCCTGGTCCTCCAACTGGGTATGAAGAGGAGGCATAAAATCATCGGAACTTGCCTCGCTGGGTTCATCATCCGGTGCATCCTCCGGACTCTGCCTGTCCTGATTCTCATGGCCCTGGTTCAGGGGCGGCATGGATTCTTCGGAACTTGAGCTCTCTCTCGACGATGGAATCCGTTTCTGCAGTGGAGCTTGCAAGCTCTCAGCACACTCCGCGGGCGGCGGCAAGACCTCTTTCTCAGCATATCCTCCCGCCGGTCCCGTCCGAAGGACACCGTGCAGGGGCGGCATGGTCTCTTCGTCCGTGCTGTTGTCCTCACCCTCCTCCAACTGGGCATGAAGAGGAGGCATGGAATCATCGGAACTTGCCTCGCTGGGTTCATCATCCGGTGCATGCTCCGGACTCTGCCTGTCCTGATTCTCATGGCCCTGGTTCAGGGGCGGCATGGAGTCTTCGGAACTTGAGCTCTCTCTTGACGATGGAATCCGTTTCTGCACTTGTGGAACATGCAAAGGCGGCATGGCTTCCTCATCAGAGCTCTCTGTCAAGCTGCGGGACAGAGCCATACTCCTTGGCCCTGGCCTCATTTCTTGGCAGATCATCTTTCTCAGATCCTCTGTACTCTGCCACTGGAGGCAGAGTGCCTTTTCGTGGCCCTTCAGGACAGCATGGAGGCCAGGCCACAGACTTACTAGGCTTACGAGACTGTCAGGATCCTCACCACGGTGCTGCAAGTGTGAGGTTTCTTTCTCTTCAACTGGCACTGTGAGAATCAACACCTATCCACATCTAGCGCCCTCTGCCATCCTCTCTTTCGGAGCAAGAGCAGCAGACAGAACAACCTGCGACGGCTGGAATATGTACATACATACATACCGACTGTCAGACAGACAGGCAGGCAGACGACAGGCAGACAGACAAACAGACATGTGTGTATGTATCTATATATTCAGTCGTTTCTTTTCATGTCTTAGTTTGTTTAATTTAGGTTTTGCTGGTTTGGTTGTGTGTGGTTATCCATCTATCATTTATCTATCTATCTATCCATCCATCTATCTATCTATCTATCTATCTATCTATCCATCTATGCGTCTATCTGTTCTATCTAGTTACATACACACGCATACAAAGGGACAGATGCAGGCCCAGCGTGAGAAGCGCCGAGGGTCAACGGCCGCCTCCTCCTTCTCGAGGCGCTCCTTCTCTTGCTCGGCTTTGCGCTGCTCCGCCTAGAGAAAAGAGCCGAAGGCAAAGAAAATTGCTTCTTAAGCCGACTCAAGTCACTTCAACGGCGATCCGTCTAAGTGGGACTACACGCAAGGCCTCGCGCTCCTGTGCAGCATCGGCCTCGGCTTTCGGGAACCAGGGAGCCCCTAATCCGAAAGTCTCGAAGGCCGCGGACGCTCTTCGCCCGGCGCCGGGTGAGCCCGCGCTCCAGAACCGCTCGGCGCCTTTCAGGCGGGCAATGTGGGCACTCCCAGGGTTCTCGTCTCTCGTCTGCTTGCGGCCCTGGCCTGGCATCCAACACCTCACTTCTGCGTCCACCTGAGGCGGAGCCTAGGAGTCTCTCAAAGCGCAGCAAGAGCAGAACATAAGTCTTGGGAGAACAGACTCTGGCCTCTAAGGTTTTCACAGCGAAGGACGGGGCTTTGCGGCTTGCCTCAGGACCAAGCAGCCAGCGCTCAGCCAGCCACCAAGCCCCAAGATGCAGAAAACCCTGCTAAATTTTTCCAGCGTAAAACCTTGAACAGTATGACGAAACAAAACCCCTACATGCTTCTTGCGCAGATCAAGTCACCAGGATCGGAGCCCAAGCTCAGCCTCTTCTTCCGGCACTCCTCCGAGACGCGCCGGGCCTCCTGATACGCAGTAGCGACGCGAAGAAGCACTCGAGGGTTTGTTGCTCTGGGGCTGAGTCTTGTAGACGCACTGACAAAAGCAATCAGAGGAATTCGGTTCAGTTGGGTTAAGGATGGCAGTAAGTTTCTTCAAGGCTGGCAGCGGCACTACAAGTAGGACTCAACCACCGCAACATCACAGTCGCCGTGAGTAGGACTGCTAAGTGACTACTAAAACATTTTCACTGCTGTGGTTCCTCGGTCATCTGCACCTTATTCAGATGGGACGCCAACTGGGTTTTCGCTCCTCGGCGAGTCGGTGCTTCTCCTCCACCACCAGAAGCTTTCCTTTCGAGACTGGTGATGCCCAATGGCCCAAAACGAAAAGGAGCTCCTGGACTCAGGGAATGAAATGCAGCTCAGCATCCCTGCGTTCGTCTTGCAGCTGCCTCTTGCCGAGCTTTCTGTGCATCTGCACGCTTACGCTCCACCTGCACCATCTTAGCAGCAGTTAAACAAGGCTTACGGGGTGTCAATGAACATTGGTGCTGAAGCGGTGTACAGCTACTGCTCCAATGGCTCCCCTTCAACCTCGAAACGTAAATGCGACCAGTTCCTACCGCAGGGAGTGCAGTGCCAGGTACCCTTCCTCGAATATTCCTTTCGTGGAACTCTGCTCACCTATGTTGCTGCAATGTCTGCATTCAAGGCGACCGTGCCTCCTTGAACAGGATCTCTTGTGAACCGGATCAGGACTTGAAACACATCGGGTTGAAGCCTACGGCCCCCAAGAGGACTAAAGACTTCAACTTGAACCTTCTAGCCCTGCAGATACCCTATTGATGCCAAAGCCAAGTAAGCCACAAATCTGCCAACTTGACAACGCATTTAAATTTCTTATGAAGACCTTATCAAGTCAAGGTGTATACCAACCCCATAAATTCCTTCAAACCCCTTAATTATTTCTCGTTGTTCTCAAAAGAAAAGATGACAACAATCCAAAAGAATCAAATAAAAGCTCTTGAGGAGGCGACCTCCAGAGCTTCCTCGCGGCGGACCTGTCGCTTGGCCTCGGCTGGCAGTGGCTCTGGTATTTTCCGTGCACATGTCATGGTCATGCTATCCATAGGCCGTGTGTGGGAAAAGACACGGAGGCATGACAAGCATGGTATTGTGAACATGTTACGGAACTATGTACCATCCACCTGTCAGGGCTCGGATCGGAGGCTCTGTTGGGGGCACCCAGCTTCGGAAGCTTGTAAAGTTTGTGAAGGCTGGTGTTCGGCTTTGGCTGGATGGTCGCAGTTGGGGTAGGAGCTACGCTCTGCCATCACTTCGACGACAACCGGCAGGACAAGTTGCTGAACCTCTCCCCCCCAAAACAAAGAAACGGCCGGCCTCCGCAAGGCGACGAAGCTCCCCGGCCAGGCTCTCGCGCCTCAACGGCAAAACATGTCTTCTCCAATGCCTTGTCAGATTCCGAAGGCCTTTGAGCTCAAATGCCTGAAAACCCCCTCCCTGCATAGAACGGGGTTCCCTCCTCGTTTCTCCTGGGGCTCCGGGCTGCTCCTGCTGCCTCCTCTGCGCCTCTTCGCTGCGTTGGCGCAGCGTTGCACGCTGGCGCTCCGCCTCTCGGGGGAGGCGCTGAAACGCTCTGCTTCAGAGCGGAAGCACAAAACGGCGTGACCTAAGCCTACAAATGAGGTGATGATTGCGGGATCCTTACTTCCTGGTGAGACGATGTGATTCCAAGTATTTCTTCGCTGAATTTAGGGCTCAGCAGCGACTGGGTTTTGTCAGTTCTTTTAGTCTTTGCTTTGGAATCGACAATGAGGCCTGGTGTCACCCGGGGATACGGTGGATTGTCGAACAAAAACCGTTCACGACAGCCCCAGCGCGCACATGCATTTTTGACAGCAGTTGCCCTAAACCCTGCTTTCACCGGGGCTCGCGGAGACAACTCATGACAGCACAGTGGAAGGTCTTCGTAGCCCGCACTCCAACACCCTAAACTCGTGAATCCAATGCTATGACAACCACTGAGGCCTCAAACTGTGCAACCGCAACAGCCAGTATCTGTACACTAGTCAAAATGCCACAAAGCCTCCAACCCAGCATGATAAACCCCAAACACCACAGCCCTGATACTAATCACACCCTCTCGAAAAGCAAAAAAAACGAAGGCCCTACAGTACTACAGACCCATAACAGTATAACCTGCCCAAACCCTATGTAAGCCCTCCAACACCAGATTCTACAAAACCCGTTAAACAGCTCTGAGCCCCAAAACGTTCTACCCAAAATCTCTAAGCCCTTGTAACCTATCACAATCAATCAACCCTCAGACCCTTTTAAAACACTCCCCGCAACCCCAACATTTAACCCTAAACTTTCCCAAACCCTTAGCCGCTAAGCCGCTAAGCCTTAGCCCTAAACCACAACCCCCCCACTATGAAATCTTGGACGCACTGAGATCCAAGTATAAAGGCCCGAAAAGACTGACCCTAACTGAAGGACACCCCGACAAAAAACTCCAAACGAATGAAAACAGGACAGAAAAATGCAAACAAGTAAACCGAACACCAGAAAAGCCCAACCCCTGCCCCCTCCCCCCTCCAACGAAACGGGTTCAAAGCCCCAGAGCGCCAAGGCCTCCGAACGCACGCGCTCCGCCTCTGCGAGTCGACGTTCGGACTCTTCCTCGCGACGTGTTGCGTCGCGTCGCGGCGTCAGAGTCTGCGCCCCGAAGAAAACGGTTCAATCAAAGGGACGTGTTTGATTCTATCGTTGTTTTGCCTCCTTCTTCAACAGGATTCTGCGAAGATGCTTTGAAAGTTCAGAGCTAGCGTCAAAAGCTTGAAAAGGGGTGCTCCGAAGCGTCAGCCTGGCCTGTCTCAGCTTGCGCTCCACGGCGCGCATCTCCTGGCATTGGAGCGGTACCCGTTTGCTATACGTTGCTGCTAGTAGCCCCAGGGCGCAGGACAAGCGAAGTCCGTTGCAGAGGCACAACCCTCGAGCGTCCTGCGCTCTCAGCTTCAACAGCTCACGCCGCCTCTGTAGCACAGAGATGCCTCCGCAAGGCAAGGAGTAGCCTAGCTGAACTTTGGTGACCTAAACGTGGCTACACCATCGCTGCACCATGCGCCGCATATCCCTGCCCCCATCTGCCGGGCCGATTGCCTGCTCCGCTCTTTTTGACTCTTCGCATTGCAATCTTGCTCGTGGGATCGGCCCCACGACGCACAGGACAGCGCACTACAAATGTTTACGTGCCGGGCGCTATAGGAGCACAGCGAAGATTGCACAATGTGGTCCATTGCCATTCCCTCACCGAAACGACTGCCACACCTATGGCTTCGAATGCTTCTGTCTACCAGTTTAGCATGGAAGCCATGGTGGGGGTTGTTGCAAGCAGTTATGCGCGGGAGTGAGACGCTCAGTTCGGGCGACAGGCTCTTTTGCTGCCCAAACAGGTCCCACAGCTGCAGCTGAAAGCGCCGATGGCCGCAGTGACAGATTTGATTCGATCTCCCTCGACAGGCACCGAAAACCATCTCTAGTCGACATTCTGTGAGATGGTCGCTGCACTACATAATTGCACCGGCTTGCCTTCGAGCGGCAGGCGAGCTTGAGAAGAACTGATTTCCACGCAGCATGCTTGTGTTGTATGCTGTCATGATGGTGTACTGCAAGGGAACAAACAAATCAGACTGTCATGGATATTACTATGTACTGTTAGTAAACATCATGATATTGTTAGCAACAAGGACTTAGGTAATAATAGCATTATTGACGGCAACAACAGCAGCAGCAACACTTTACCGAGTTCCGGGTCCAGTTTACCCGTTTAAGAACAACCTCCCTGGCCCACCACCAACCACAGCAATAACCACCACCAAGACCGGCAACAATACCATTGCCAATGCCAACAACACCAACGCCACCACCACCACCACCAGCAGCAGCAGCAACAACAGCAGCAGCAGCAGCAACACAGCAGAAGCAGCTACAGCATTCAACAACTGCAACAATTTCAACTTCAGCAACAACAACCACCACCACCACCGCGCCGACGACCACGGCCATGGCCACGGCCACCACAACCACGACCACAGCCACAACCGTAACAAGAAGAACAAAAGAATGGCAACAGCGCGCACACACAGTAGTAGCAGCATCAGCAACAACGACAACGACAAGAAGAAGAAGAACAACAACAACAACAACAACAACAACACCCACAACCACCACAACCAACATCAACCACACATCTGAATGACAAGAACAGTCAGACACTATCGACAACCAGATCAAAAATGCGAATAATCAGAGGCAGTTGACATAGAAAAAGGCAATCTGTCTAGGAATGTCGCAACCAATTCTCAATATATCATGACAATAATTTTGTTGCAAAACAAGAAACAAACTAAGACGAAACGTGCTACATGGAAAAATAGTCTTCATCATAACATTGCTTCATGCTAGTGCTTGCAATATCAATTGGAAGTGTAATGGTGACGGACGTGGGAATGGTCATGGCCAAGGGAATAGGGGTAATAATGCCAACGGTAAGCGCAGGAGCCGCAGTTCAGACTACTGTCACCATCAGAAGAGCAGTATGTTGGAAAAGTAACAGAAACGCATCATGCGAACCATTATTCGGCATGCAAGCCCGCCTTTATTGAAGACCGGTGTTGTGTTTGACAACTGGTCCGGCGGGGCGACCCAACCTACGAGGCGGTGCTTGTTGGGACCTCTAGCCGCCTCTGGGCTCTCGACCTTCTTCGCCTCTTGGCAAGACAGGACAGGCGGGAAAGGGCCCTAAAACCAAATTAGCAAGGCCTGATCGCAGCATCGATGGTGGAGTCCGAGGCCTTCGTTCTGGTCAGGATGAAAACATGCTTCGTCCTTTCAGAGGCTGCCGAGTGGCGTTTGCGAAGCCTTCTGGGGCATTCCTTGCAGCGAGTCGAATAGCCGTGTGGTACGGCATGTAAAGCAACATGTAGAGTCTGCAGAGCATTGGAGCCGAGGATCGAATCTTCACTGGCACGTGGGCTTCCACGGGTGGCGTGGCCACCCCTTGTGGAAGCGTCGCAGGGGCCACGATCTGAGATTTCAAGGCGTCCGCTGCTGGGCACTCCGAGCTGGGTCCCAGGTCCCGCGCCGTGTTCCGCGGGCTGTCCACAGAGGCCAGCCTCCAGATCAAGCGGAAGGAAAAGAGGGGAAGAGACCAAAGGGCTCAGGGCTCAAGCAACTCGCCTCGTGGCGATGGTCACCCTCGAAGTTGGTTGAGGCTCCGGCCGGAGCTCGATTCCTATCATCAGAGTCTCATGATTCCCGAAAGGAATCGGTGGGATCTTACTGAGGAGCCGGCGCGGCGTGCGTGGGAAGGGATTCTGGCAAGGAGCCGAGACCTAGCACTGCCCCAGCTCAGCCGGCGCATCTTTCTCGCTTCTGCTAAGCCCAGGGCCTGCCGGATGGGCTCGAAGGATTGCGTAGAAGCATGGGTCGGCTGGGAGTATAGCCGAGTACACGACAGCCGCACAGGGGCCTCAGTCGGACGGAGCTTTGCGGTTCAAAGATGCGCTGGACTCCGGCAACGTGCCACCATGGCACGCTTGGAGCCGCGAGCGTTCGGTGGGAGACGACAGGGCTTGAGACGCACCTGGGACAGAAACGGCGCAAAGCCTAAGGACAGCCAGCTCTCACTCATCGCCAACCCACGCCGTGGTTCTAAGTTGGGCACGATGAGGGAAGAGACACTGTCCTGGGTGATGTTGGCAAAGTAGCCACATGTGCTTTGACCCAGTAAACACGCCTCAGTTCGCAGAGCGATGGACCCCCCTGCCAGACGGCCCCCAAAAGATAAACAGTCTCTCTGCTTGCAGGGGCACGGCGGGTAAACAGGCTGCTGAGGTGACAGTCCGGCAATCATTCTACGGCCTGAGTTGCTTCGAGAGAGAGCCCTCAGTATCAACATCAAACAAACACCCCCTCCCCAGCTGAAGGAGCAGGCAAGCTGCTTTTGGGTGACCGCTCCTTTGCGGAGAACGGACATCGCCTGCGTCTCCTGTCACGCTTCCCTGTCCTTGTGTTGGGACTTTGGGTTAGGATGTGGGGCGTGGGGGGTCTGGAAGTGCTTGCTGCCCTGCATAGCTTAGCTGCACCCGCGTCTCTCGGGCCTGAGCCAATCGCGGCTGCGGTTGTCGCACTCAGCAGCAAGACAAAAGCAAGGGTAAGTGGGTCTAGGACTCAGAAGAACCAGCTCTCATTTTGGACGCCGACATTGGGCGCAAACTGCTCCCTCAGCACACGAGTGTGGGCCCGTGGACTCGTTTCCCACTTTGTTTGTTGACTGCAGCGGTCAAAGCCGTGGAGTCCCTGGTGCTAGTTCTTGTAGTGTAGTTCTCGCGGGCCCTTGGTGGTGCTCCGTGGCCTTTGACGGCTGTTGTTGGGGCTAGTCGATGGTGCACAGTGCCGTCAACTCGTCATCGGCCAGGGTCAAGAGCTCCTGCAAAGCAAACTACAAAGGCCTCCTCACAATGCCCCTCCCCACCCGGCCGCCGTGCCTGGCCAGCTTCGAGGCGTTGCAACTCTCCAGGACCCAGCACAGCCAGCACAGGCAGCGGTGGGCTGAAAGGAGCTCCGGCCAGCACCGCGTTCAGCAGCTCCTGCAGCTCTGCAGTCAGGTCCGGCCCTTCACGGTCCTGTTGCACCGGCTTTCCACTCCGAGCGGCTGCACCGCCACCAGGGGCGAGGTCTTCGGCATCTGCATAAGCGGCGCCCTCGCACGCAACGAGCTTTTCTCCGCTCTTCCATGCTCTTCCTTCCTCTCTCCCTCTCTGGCCTTCGGCCCCAGAAGGCCAAGCCTCTTGAGACGTCCCAAGAGCACCTGAGCAACAGCTCGGGTGGTCTACTCTCCCCGTGGACTGATGGGCGCATGTGGCCGTGTTGCCGCGTCGCCTTGCAGGGGCCGCAGTAGTCGGCGCCGAAGACGATGACACCAGGCGCCCGTGAAGCCAGGAGTTTGGGGAGACCTGTACGTTACCCACCGCCAGTTTTGCACTGGACCCTCCACCGACTACGAGTAAGAACGTTTTATGACGAATCTACTTTTTTCAACTCCTGCCTCCCCGGCTCGCGGCCGCACGCAGGCTCTGCCTAATCTCCCTGTGTCGTGGAGTGCCGCTGAGCGCGATGAAGGCCACCCGAAAGTAGCTGCAGAGATGCAGCACCGCGCAGCAGCAGAGCAACTGGGCCGGTCTGCATCCAGGCACGCGGGACATCGCACTACGATTCTCTGGCTCAGGTAAACGTTCTTGTGTGCAGATCTCACTCCTGAAGTCTAACGAGGAAGGGCTGGGACCCACGATGAAGTCTGTCGGAGAACATGCCAACTACTGTGTCCTAACTCGTTCGCCACATCTTTTCCATGGGCCTACGAATAAAAAAGTCAGCTGCCGGCTGCAGTGCAGGACATACATCGACAACGGCCTTGTTCTGTAAGCTCGTCAAAAATCCTGTCCGGGGCTCCGGGTAGTCCCCAATATATGCTGTTATCAATTGCTTGGAAGAGACGGGGGACGGCGGGGTGGGGGCCAGCACATGCCTGATTGAAAGCTTTATGCATGCGTGAAAGCAAGTGTCTGGTTTATCAGCAGCTTGAGTCAAAATTGCAGAGCGCAGTAGTGGCGAAAAGCTGCTCAGGTCTGAGGAGCCAGCAGCGTCCGGCCCTGCAGAAATGATGCCACCTTCCGGACACTGGTTTGATGTGCTGGTGATCACCCCCGCAATTGTCCTACTAAGCTTTCGGTCCACAAGAAATCACAGCTTGTCCCCCAACCTCGCTTTCAACCGTGCTTCGCGCTGATTCACCGAACTGATTCACCTTGGGATCGGAGGTCGTCAGCGACTTGGCAGCGTCTTTTTTCTGCAGCACGGGTCCATTCTGGAACAGCACACAATAATAAGCTCATCCAAGATTCCAGAGCTGACTTGAGCGCATTGACCGCCTGACGCGATTGACCAAGAAGGTACTGTCGCGGCGTTGATTGAAGCACGACAAGTACTTTGTGTAATGACAATGTTGTCTATATATAGCTTTTATATATATATATATATATAAATACATGTACATACATATACACAGAAAATAACACACTACACGCATACATTACATGGAACAGAGAAAGAGGCCAATATGAACTGAAAGTGGCTGAGAAAGGCAAGCCTTCGGCGGGACCATGTCGCAGCATGCGCTGTGGCTTCCAAGGCCTCAGGCTCCGGTAGGCCTCTAGTACATTAAGCCGCGCACACACGCGGAGACACCAGCTCTGTTGTTTTTGATGAATTAGAATTTGCCGAATCCGAGACACTATCCCACCAACACTCTCCAATCAAGAATCAAGAGGCATGTTTGCTTGACACTCTTTTGGGTTCTGGGGATAGGGCCCGAGACGGCTCTCGGCACCTTCGGAAGCTGAGAGCGAGAGGCCCTCTCCCCGGAGAGCCGGACATTGCGGGCCAGACGGGCACAGGTCAGTCTGGAGTTTAGGGGTTGCAAGGCAACCTCGCTTGGCGCTTGCTTTTCAGATTGCTTCGCGACGATTTTTCTCCAGGTGCCAACCGCGACCGAGGGTGGGGCGACGTTTAAATCAACGCTGCGACAGCTGCGCTTTAAGTGCAGCTGGAGTGCAAAATAAAATGATTAGTGGAGCCTCACCGCCAGCGGCGTCATGCTGAAACTTTGCTCCACCTGGGAATCGATCTCGTCGGAGTTGCTCTCCTCAGGTCGGCAGACAGCTGACAGTTTCCTCAGATCCTGCCTTGATGTCGCCTCGGCGAGGTTCGAGTAGCCTGCTCAAAGAGCGTCATAAGAAGTTTTCTGACGTCTGACGTGCCCTTCTGCTTTTCTTACCGGGATCCAGGCGCATCTTGGCACAGCTGTACAAGACCGCCCCTGCGGCGGAGACCTTGGGCGCTCTCGGAGCTTCTCTGTGGATCAAGGGGTCGTTTTTTTGCGTGGGCCCTTGAACTTCTCTCGCGGCTTTTCAATTAAAACCGATCCATGGCTCCCACGAAACTCTCAGAAGTTCAGTGGCCGCTGTTTGGTGCCACTTTCTCCCACGCGGCAGGCAGAAATCTCCACGCCGAGGGGAGGGAAGCGGAAGACAGTGAGGCCGGTCTGAAGATTCAGACTCCTCACCTTGGCTTTTGCGACCCAGAAATGTATGTGGTTGTCCGGGCCGGCTTCCTAAATTCTCAGTGATCTCTATTGAGGGGTAATTATATAGGATGTTGATGCGTAAGTTCTTGTTGGCTGGCCCTTCCGCCCCAGCTGTGAGGCCCAGGAGCAGGAAAGCGACTCAGGTCGCGCAGGAAGAACACCTCGGGCGCAGACAATTTCGCCGAACCGCCAAAAGCTCCGAGACTCCTTGAGTTGGATGGACCACGGGGGCCGAGGCCCAGTATGCTCCGGCCACCAAGCGGTTTGATAAGTTGGAAGGCCTTGATTTGGGAGCTTTCTGGCCTCAAACTGGGCCTTTTCCTGGGAGGCTCTCAGGCCGGCTCGCGGCTCGCGCTTGACAGTTTGCGCACGGGAAGTGATTTGGTGGGTGGGGAATTGCAGGACATTTTCTAGGCTCTACGAAAGCGACCCTCGTTCTACAAGTCTGCCTCCGCTTTGGCTGCAGTGACACCACACGCACACGGGCCTGTGACATGACAATTCAAGAAGAGCCTTGGTCTCATTTTCTGAAAGCTGAAACTGTATCCCCAACTTTTCGGTAAACGCCCCGAAGTTCTCATGTCACTGCTTCGACAACGAGTGAGGCCCGGGCCCTGGCGAGGTCGCTCCCCACTCGGTCGCCTGCTTCGGGCTCGGGTCGCGGAAGCGGCGAGTTGAAATCCTCGGCAGCGGACGAGACAAAGGCGCTCGGATTCGCTTTGGTGCTTTGCGCTCTCGCAACTCGGAAGTCTTTGGCCCTTTCTGTATTGATTTTGAATGGGCATGGAGGTGATCGGCTTGTGTAGGATTTCGAGTTCTGTATGATGTACAGGGTCACATGCTGGAGGGGCTGAGAACTTGTTCTGCGATTAGTGCGGGGTCTGTGCAGCCTGAGGCCATCAAGTAGCGTATACTTAATCCGAATGATATACCCTATCTTAAACTGCTATAACAGAACACCCTAGACAAAAATCAGCTTCTGCAATGGTCGTTTTGAAGGAGACAAGCGTCGATCCAGAAGTCTGAAAAGTTGACCTCCACCTCATCGCTGGAAAGAGTCGCCAGGGTCCCAGCTGCATTCAGCCAACCGCGGCCAAGAGGACCCTGCCGTGGACTCAGGAAGATAGACGCCCGGCTAAGGACGTGGCTTGATATCTGTCATTCTGAAAGGCTTCACATTTAGAACAATCCGACTTTTTATTGCTATCCTAACCCTTTCATGACCACACTTCGAAGCTCGCACAGAATCTCCAAGCCTCGAAGCGAGCAAAGGACCTGATTCTGGGGGAGGCATCCGCCGTCGGGGGAGCAATGTCATAATAGACGTCCAGCTGGGTGAGAGCCAGAGAGCCAAGTGTGCGGAGGTGCGGGGCATAGGTGACACGCCAGAGACCAGCCCAGTCCGACTCGGCGCCGGCAGCTGCACTGCCTCCGCTTGCTTTCAGGAGCTCCTCCGTGGCTTCGCGCGTCCCATCTCCGCTCCAAATCGGAAAATCCACGGACAGATCCCCATTCTCACAGAGCACCACCTCGCTGCTCGCGACGCCGCGCGATGCGGAGGCCGCACGTGCGCGGTGCCCCAAGCCCAGAGCGGCTGAGAGGCCGCAGAGCCCAGAGAGCAGCACCTGGCGCCGGTCGAAAATCTTCTTCTCGCTCACAACTCGCCTGGGTCCAGCAGACCCCTTAGGTCTCCAGAACTGGATAAAATGTCGTGGGTGTGGCTGTGCGGCAACAGGGACAGGGACGGGTGTTTTGAAGCCATGGCCGGAGAGCATCCTGTCAAGAAAGTCTGAGTCGAATGCTCCAAGCCTTAATCTACTCTACACTCCTGCAGATGTTCGGATTCTGCAGATGGGCCGTCGGGGTATTGTGTTAATTACCGGTAGCGAGTGGCCCTGCAGGCTTATGTCTGCAGTGCTGATGCGGGCAACATGGAGGTCGACAGTGACATGGCAGGTGCAAACAAAACCTGCGACACGACTGCCCGAGCTAGTGCTCTCGTTCAGCGGTCCGAGTGAACGGCTGCATACCCAGCTTGCTGTGCCGTGGTAAACCTCTGGGAGGAAGGGATACGTGGAGGACTGCACAAAGTCTGACACAACGGAGGAGCTAGAGGGCCTCTCGCCATCCGCAATTAAGAAGAAGAGCACCTTGCACGGCCCGCACTCTTCCCGCCACAGTCGCATTTATACATGAGCCCTTCGCGATCGCAACGTCGTGGAAGACAGAAAGCACGGAAACCTCAACATGGAGGATTCCACAAAAAGTCAAGGGCAAGTGGCAGCTCGGGTCCCAAACTGTCAACGGAGACGTGAGCTGCGTCAGGCGCAGCTGGAACCTCAGCGCGGGCTGGTGCTAATGTGCGCTGAGGTTCACGCCATGAAGCCAAGCCGCACCAATATGCCAGTCGCGCTGGCAGCAACCTCGGCTGCATTGTGAGCGGTCGGGCACCTTCAACCCACAGCTTCCCCAACCCCGCCCCCGTCGCACGAGCTCGGTGCTGCTACTGCCAGAGGCATGGAGGGGAGCGTCCAGTCCTTGCCCAGTGGCAGGATGGCCAAACCTGGCTGGAGAGCTATTGCCAAGTCGACGATGGAGGCGCATTCAGAAGTAAGTGCACGACATATATTAGTGCTGAAAAAAGTGCAACGTAAGATAGCTTCACCCATCTGACTCTGCAAGACTTGCCGGTGATGCTAACCAATCCGGTGACCTGCAGCCGCCAAGCAGGTGATGCACCGAGAGGCTCCTTCCTAGGGTCCTAGAGCCGTACTGTATGCTGAGCATGTCAGAAAAGCAGAAGCCAAGCTGTCCAGAACCCACGAACTGCACATTCTGTGAAACTGCTGTCATGCGATGGTACCCCGCGTTGTGCTGATTGCTGTGTCTGGCAGTAACATCATGGGTCGCACTTCCCTCTGTGCTCATGATTCTCATCATCCGTGCTTGCCAGGCATTCTTGCTGGGCTAATCTGGGCTATGCTGGGCTCACTCTTCTTCCAATCATACCCATGATAATCACGACAATGACTTCGCTCTCTCCCTCTCCGTCTCTCTCCCCATTCCGCAGTCCCGTTCAAGGCTCAATTGCTTGGGCCGATACTGGGTTGCAAACGAAGGCGACCTGTGCCTTCGAGGGAGGCTGCTGGGCCGAATTCACAAACCTCGGGGGCAGGTATCCAAAAGCAAATCAGCAAAAGGATGCTAGGTCTACAGAAGCCTACATAGTTTTGAACATCGGAAGATGATCAAGCCACCGCGCGACACATTTTGATGCCTAGACATCTTCTACGCTTGGTTGCGTATGCTCGGAGCTGGCACTTGGCGCGTGCACAGGGAGTGCAGGATGCACAGGCCACACTTCCAAAATCGCTGTACAGAGAAATCTTTCGGCCGGACCGGCCGATGCAGCCAGCAACCATGAACTACACAGAGTCGATCGCATCCTTCGAAGCATCTAGGCTCATCTAGGCGCCTGTACCTATGTAGAGGAAGCTTTGGCCGTCGGTTGCCGTCGGTTGCCGCATGAACACTGCATGCATTCGGCCCATAGTATATCCAGTGGCCAGGCATGCAAGGATGCACCTGGGCCCATCATCTCTCCAGAGACCCGTTGCAACTCCGGCACTATTTGCCTCCTTGCGTCTGCTCCATCTCGAAAAGAAGTAACATGGCCCCTTTCTCAGCCTTTGTCTGAAGGCACAAGGGCCCGATAAGCTCCGCGGCGTCGTGCTGTTGGAGCCGTTGGACTTTGCCGTCAGCATCTGCCAGCTGCACGCTGCCTTCGACACACAGCAAGTAAGCCTGTCGACCTGCTTGCAGATCCATCTTCGGGAGAGACACTCCTGGACTGAGTTCGGAGAGAAACACGTTGCAGTCTTGGTAGATTCGCACTGGTGCCTTCTGGCCTCCCTCGGCGTCACACACAATGTGGGCCCACTGGTTCTGGCGCAAGGCCTGGGACAAGACAATGATATACCAAACCCTCTATGTCCTTGTGGGCCCTGCATACTTTCAGGAGTCTATAGTTACATGGCTTCCACTTTTCGGACATGCTCGCCTCGTTCTCCTTGGTGCCGGCCATGGAGCCATACTTCGGGCGTAGCCCCCGCCTGCGAGGCACCACCCAGCATTGCACGAAGCGCAAGGCTTCGCTCTGCAGGTTGTGTTCCGAGTGCTGGATGCCCGTGCCGGCGGTCATGTATTGGACCCCGCCGCGACCGAGCGTTTCCTCTGTGCCCATGGAGTCTCGATGGGTTAGCTGGCCCTGAAATATGAATGTCATGATCTCCATATCACGATGCGGGTGCCTCAGCAGCTACAGGGTACCCACTAGTCTCGCATAACTTATGAAAGACCCTGTATAAGTACATGTACGACCGTGATCCAAAACGGTCACGCTCACACAAAGGATCGTCCCTCGAAGTTGCATTCCAAAGCCTCGCTTGGGCTGCACAAGGTCGTCATTCATGACACGGAGGACGCCGAAGTTGTCTGACCCTCCATCGTATTCGGCAAAGTTGAAATGGAATCGAGATTTCAGCCAGTTCCGATTGGTCCAGCCTGGCTCACCAAGCTGTGGGTTTGGACGGTTCCCGAAGTAGACCGGATTTGGCTCGCTGACGTACAGCTGGCGCTGAGGGATCGTGCGCACTGCGCCAGCGACACTAGCCGGGGACGTCTTCCCCGCCCCGAGCAAGCAGCCAAAGGCACCGAAAGGCATGATTTGAGCTGGGCCAAAGAGGAGAGGCGTCTGTTGTGGGGCAAATGCTGAGTCCTGAGCCTCGCGGTTTGAAAGAGCGCTTCCCCGCCCTCTGCAAGTCTGCTTTAGGTCTGCCATGCAGCTGGGCTGCTCGTCGCTTGGGCCGCCCAGAAGAAGCTTGATCGCCGTGAACCTGCGTCTCTTGGCTGTGCTCGAGAGGCTACAGTAGGCCTCTTTGCCGCCTCCCTCGCGGCTACTCTGCAAGTTGCACTTTTTGGGGCTGGGACGAGCCCACATTGCAGGGTAACTCCGAAGGACAGTGGGCTACAGCAGTTCTCAGTTGAGGGTCGAGCTTGAAGGCATAGGCGAGGCCCGATCCGAGCTGAAGTGAAACCTCGTAGAGCAAATTAAATGGACAGGGATCATGAAGTTGAGGCGACTGCGAGCAACGTCCCAAGGTCTTACTCATGACCGTGCCTGCATCTGCCATTCCGACAATGAAAATCAAAGGAAGACAGAGGAAACACATAGGAAGTCGGCAATGTGGAAACAACAAAAATACGACCAGGCAAAGTCCTCAGCTCGAGTACAGGACTGTTTTGCAACTGGAATCTTGCATACGGACATTGCCCGAATCGACCGTTTTGGACAAGTCATGAGTTATGCTAGCTATGCTTTTCTTCTTGACATGTCTCGGGCGTTCGCATGCTCTCAGCCTCCGGCCCCAACCATGCTGCTGTTCCAAGCTCCCTGGCGCCCGCTCGGAAGCACGAAAGTCCCCTGACGCCCCAGAAGACCCCGAAACCCCTAAACCCGAAAGCCCCCAATTCCCAAACCCTGAAGGCGGACTCTGTGTGCTCCTTTTGTGAAAGGGAGGGGGTCCTGGGGCCTCTCGTGGCTCCCGGCTCTCCCCTCACTCACGGCTCATCACGGCTGTCTGCCCTTGGGGAAGTTCCCTCAACTCTGGAGGTGACTTCCCTGAAACTTTGAATTTCTCATGCACCGCCAGAGCTCGGAAGAGTGCTCGTCGTGATTTGTTGTTGATTTTGGGCTTCGCGTTGGATTAACTTCCACCTCCGGCTGCCTCTTATACTCGCATTCTGCACTTGTGGCATCTGGGAGGTTGCAGGTGCCGGGCGCCAAGCCCCGGAGTCTTCAAAAGCTGCCGTCTTGAACAGAACCATTACAACCCTCACCCTCACCCGGCACACTCAGTGGACCAGTTCAGCACCGTCAAAGAGAAGGCCTCCGCACGCCAGAAGAAAGGGGTGAATCCCCCTGAGACCCTTGCAAGGACCCCTCCTAAACCGCTCGTGCTCCTCCCCCTCTTTTTCCGGCCGCGAGGAGCGAGGAGAGGGCACCATCGAATTGCCATGGGTCGCGTCCGAGCAATTCGAGGCTTCGGCAGTCCGAGCAATTCGACTCGAGGCTGCTCGGAGTAGGACATTGCAGTAAAGCTGCAATGTTACAGAGACAAATGGAACTATGCGGGGAGTCTTTTTCACCTTCGTGAAAAAACGGCTCCCACCGGTGCCTTCACACCGGCCTAAGATGTGCTACATAAACTGGTCCACGATGGAGACAAGAGTGAGCACCGCCATCAAGGACAGATTCACCTGCCGGTCGGGCACAGTACTGGAGCTTTGCCATGTGGTTGTATCCATGCATAAAGAAAATAACTTGTGCGGGGCCCGGGCCCAAGCGATGATCTGCCACATGCGCCGGGGCTTCGCAGCTTGGCATTGGAGGCTTTCCCACGCCGACGTCTTCCAGAAGGGCTTTCCTTCCGCCTAAGGCTTGGGGCTTCTGCCTGAGGTCTAAGGCTCTGGTTTGGTTTTGGGGTTTCGTGGGAGGATAGGAGCAGCACCACAGTGCGGCTGCAGAATTTCCTGCCAAGCTGCGAGAGGCACGCACTCGCCTCGAAAGGGTGAACGTATGCGAAACAAGACAAAACTCGGCTCTTCCTGCACCCCCCATTTTTGGGGCCACGGCGAGCGCTCATCAGCGTTGCGGTCTGCTCGGGCTGCCTCAGCCTCAGTCAGGGCCAGTGACGGTCGGGAACCCAGGGCCGTTTTCATCGTAACGGGGCCGGGGAGCGCCGAGAGGAAGAAGAGGCTGGGCGCCATAAGATTCACGAAGGAGGAGGTGAAGGTGCCGGAGAAATCCACGGCGTTCTTAAAGCCTCCGAGGCCCGAGCGAGGGATCGATGGAGGTCTCAAAGCTTCTCCAGCCTTCGCCGGTGTAGAGAAGGACGGACACCCCAAAGGGAACAAGCACGGAAGCAGCACCTGCCACCTGGAGGCGACTCGACAGCTTCAAGAGTTGCAGAGAGGCAGCCTCCACTTAAACCCTGGCACCGCCTTGGGGCCCATGAGCTTGCTTTCTATCAAGTTGTAGCGCATGAGGATGGAGAATATGGGGATCGAGGCCAAATTCGCTGAGATGGCATAGGCCTGTACAGTGACAAAGGCCTCAGCCGGCGGAGCCCAGGGTGGCGATGAGTGCCAGTGTAGATATCGAACTGGGATCATGAGGCGCATCGGGAAACCTACTGTTAGAAAGCCCTCCAATGCAGCCGCTGGCACTGTGGATCGAACCAATCGCGATCCATCCTGGCCAGCAGAAGCAGCTTCGCATGCCCCTTCTCATGAAAGGCACGTCGCCAGTACAGAGCCTGCGATACCCAAGATGCGAGGCTTTCTCGGGGAAGAACCGGGAAGTCCCGGCGCCCGAGTGTATGATTTCCCTTCTGAATTTTCTCAGAATTACGCTCTCGGGCACTCTCTGATTCAGCATGAGATGATGGCAGGTTTCTCTTCCAAACACTCCCAAACGAGCTTTCTGCCATGGTATTCTCAGACGCCTATCACTAGCACATGCTGAAAAAGTCATGGTCAAAACCCACTCTATGGATGAAGCGAAATCCGATGTCACAGCTGCCGTTAGGGCATAGAGCTCCATGACGGTAGAACAGCGTACGTAGCTTACAAGTGCCTGAAGTAGCTGGAGCACAAGGCACTCGATGGCAACTTGTGTGCTGCTCATGGGATTCTATTCATGGGGTTGTCTTTGCTCGCCCTGCGAGTCTCGAGGGTTTCAAAATGACTCCGATTCCAAAGCAGCCGCCCGAACAAGGGCTACTTACTACGTCGCCGCTGCGCGGGGAAGTCCTGAGGAGAGATGTGGTTCAGCTGAGAAAGCAGCGTGTTGTCTGTCTTGAAGTAGGGCTCGAAGGCCATGCCGCCGAGGATGCCAACCATCAGGTATCCTCAGGCTGTCACAGCTGGGCTTACCGTACGGGTATAGGGCATCACTTCTTTGTGCCGCCGTTATGGACCAGTTCCGATTTTGGTCGAACCCTCCTGCTTACAGCGCTACAGTTGCGTCGGCCACAAAGGTTCCTTGCAGCTCCAAGAATCCCACCACTGCCAGGGCCAGGGTTAGCAGGATCGTTCTTAGCGGTGGCACCTGGGCAGCTAAGGTGGTCATGGCCGACTCACGCTGTGACTTCGATGGGCGTGAGGGCGGGCGCGGCGCCTTCTGAGTCGAAAGAGTGCTGCATGCCTTCAGTACACTTTGGCGCCCTTTAGCTCAGCTTTTTCGCTCCGAGCTGCTCCGGGCTTCTTCTCGCAGACCCAGGAGGGTACCGTAGAGATAAACCTTTGGCCGCCGTGAGAGAGTCGGGCCGCTCCCTTTATGTTGGAAGCCAAGATCCTTACGAGAGTCCTGCAATTCAATGCCTGTAATTAGGTGAGATCGCGAGCTTGACAACCAGGACCCCAAGGACGTGACACCGGGTGCACACCAAGCAGCATGAAGTTAAAGAGGATAGTGCCCCCCATGTTGTGAAGGGAGGTCCCCACTGCTGGCACCCGTTCGGCTTCGAGGCCAAGGGCACAGAAGATGAACATCCAGAGCAAGATCCTGAGCCGGGACCGCAGGACTCTCTGCATGTTCTGTGGACCTTGAGACTTTTTCGTAGCTTCCCTTCTCCCTGAGCGCTGTGAACGTGACCGCAATTCCGAAGATGAGAGTAGCATGCACCCCAGTCTGCACGACAGGTATGGATTCCGCTGCCGGGCCACGACAGAATGATGACGAAGAGCGCTGCATTTTGCACCTCCAGGGCATCCACACCCACCCATGACTGTACGGCTGGCTGATGCCCTGCAAATGTTTGAGCTACAGTACCACCCTGTAAACAATCAGCCTGCTACTAAAAAGCGACACGGCCCGAAGGTTTCTCACCTTCACGTTATCCTCCAGGTTCCAATAGCCCAAAGGGATGCTGACGAGTCCGACACTGCACATCCCAAGAGAGAGGACCACCTCCCAGTTTGAAGAGCTGCGCAGGGCTACTGTCATTGAGGGCCTCGGAAGTGTAGGGAGACTTATTTGGTTTGGATGCGGGGCTCTTGAAACTCCATGGGAAGCAGGAGCAGGGGAGCAGAATCTGCGGCGGCATGTCAGGAGAGCAGGTTCCAGCTGCCTTCCCAGCACCGAAGGGGGTTACATCCTGGCTGGAACTCCGGCAGAATGGATGGAAGACGCTCGGGTAGAACATGAGGGCACATGAGTCACCGAAGACTGTGTCGAAGAAATAGTCGAAGACCTGTTGGCAGAGGGATGGATGCTCAACGCTCGCTCGCCTGCCCGTGCTTGCGCGGCTACTCAGTTGCTGCCTGCGCTGTCTGGATGATGTTACTGATGTTGGCCGTGAGCATCGCAAGCTGAAAGAGGCCTCACAAGGGATGATTAACCTCAAAGAAAACATGAACCCGAAGGTCATGCAAAGGCGATGTTTGAACATGACCTTCTTTGGCTGTCGGCCTTGGAAGATCTGGGCCACTCTCGAGTTGAAGTAGTGCCGGCAGAGCGTACCATACTCAACTCGGACATCGAAATCCTGACGATTCAGCAGCCTCTCGGCCTTTCAGAAGTTTACGCATCCTTTAACACTCCTTTGAAGTCCCTGCAGATCACCCGTTACACAAGGTCCCAGCCGTCCTGGTTGTTTGGGTACGCACGCATTGCTGCCAGCAGCATGGCCTGTTCTTGTGCCGGAGAAACTGCCCCCCCCCCCCCCCCCCCTTTAAAGGTCGGCGGCCAGGTCTCGCCGAGAGGCCCCGCTGAAGATGCTGGAAGCAACGCAGACCAGGACCAGGAAAGTCGGGGGCAACCAGCCGCTCTGCTGGTAAAGGCTGGAGAAGTTGGCGATCCCGGGCCTTCGCTTTGCTTCATGGCAGCGGCTTCGGCCCGGTGAACTCTGGGGAGCCCGGCCCCAAGATGTTGTTCAGCAGAACTGCGAGGCTGCCGATCAGGCCGATGGTCTTCGCACCTCCCATGGCGGCCCCAGCCCCCGACGCGCCGGAGGCCCCAGACCTCAAGGAAGGAAGCTGCATGGAATGGCTCTCAAAGAGGCTCCGCCGACTCGGCAACCTTCGGAGCCGAGGCGCTCGAAGGAAACCGCCATTCTGGGAGCTGCCGTCGTCCGATATGCCGGCGCAGCGCTTGGGTGGTTTATTGAATATCTCCTTGGTCCTTGGGGTGCCTGGTTTGTCCGAATCCTCCCTTGACCTACGGCCCAGCTGTCCTTGTGGGATAGTTCTACGGGTGCCCAGAGATCTCAAACCTTCTGTTTCAAGCGCGTCTTAACATGCTCTCCCGACATCCAGGCATAAATGCTTGCATCTGCTGTGTATTGGCTTTGCTGCCCGGGCGCCCTACGGTGCTGAGGAGCCCGTCGTGATGGCGTGCGCTCGCAACTTGCTGCCGAAACGGGTCCACTATCGCGTGATCGCTCTCATGTCGCAAGTCAAACCTGCCTGGTCAGACATGATGGTCCTTGGGTGGGCAGCATGATAGTGCAAGTGCCCACACAAGATCCTCCCTCTTGAGCAGTGACAAGCACACTTCCTCCCAAGAATGCACAGAAAAGGATCTGTAGCATCTGCTTGCCGCCGCCAGCGTTGGAGCCATCCACGGCTATGACCCGAGAGCTCAATCCCTCAGTTCTCCAGGTCCGTACTTCAAAGTAGCCAGCGCTTCAGAATTCTTGGAAACCGCTCTCAGCCCACTCAACAAATGCGAGGTGCAATGCGCCGGTCCTCCGGTACGCTGGCATTGTATTCCTTCGGGCGCCGACTGGATGTACAGAGGACTTGCAGCGCACAGGATACCAGTTGATGTGCATTCTGCAAGATAACAGTCCGCGACGATGCCGCCGCCAGTTATGGTGCTGATTCCTCGTCAAGAGCCGCACTTGAGTTCTGCCTCCCTGCCTTCTCCCGGTAGGCCCCGGCCGACCGAGGTGCGCTGCGCTCTGAGCCTGAGTTCAGCTGCGAGCCAAAGGGCCAAGCCCGATGAAGTTGCCAGGCCGCAGGGTAATAACAGTGTAATAACGATCGATCTCTGAGGCCCTGTCTCCATTCCAAGATCCTTGTTTCGATGCTTGGAGAGGTCGAGAGAAAATCGCCGAGGCTGCTCGAAAGTCAACTCCTCCGTACGGGACATTCGGCCCAACTACGAAGTAACATGTCAGGGGATGGATGGACAGCCATCGCGGTCCAGCAGGCCGTCGAGGCAGTAGATCTCTTCCATTTTCCTCACCAGGTCCTGTCGTTGAAGAGTCGTTGTAACAGCGACGACGGCAACGACGACGACGACATCGACGTCGACCTCAACAGTGACAGCCAAACTCATCAGACTGACGCCAGTCGAAAACGATTGAGCATGACTCCGAAAACAGTAAAATATCGAGACCGTAGTAGTAAGAGGAGTATAGTGAAGACAACGAGCGTCTGGCCTGGCTACCTCCCCTCATTCCGTTCACGGCCAGAAGGCGCATCCACTGGGCGGCAGCCTAGTGACGACAGCCGTGATTTTAAACGGGCCTAGCTACCCTCAGGACATCCTGCGTCATGCTAAACCTCAAGGTCTAAACTAAACACCCTACTTCATAAAGCCTAAACCCTAAATTGGGCATCTGGCCTTGCCAGCAGGCGTCATGCACTTGGCCAACAATCCCTCCGGCGTGATGTCCTGCGCAACAAGGGCCTAAGGCAACAAGCATTCCCAGGGCGGATACTCACAGCATTCCAGTAGTTGCTGCCATTAGCAGAGCAACCGCCACAAGACGGATGGAGAGGAAGTATAGCAGCTAGTCACCCAGCACTATCAACCTCTTCGACAATTTCCAAGCCTTTCTGGAACCCCAAACAACATCCACCTGGCAGAAAGCCCTGAAACTGCATGGGCTGCAGCGAGTGCTGCGCCTTCACCAGGCAACACTCGGCGTCCTGAGCAAGCCGACTTGCTATTGCATGCAGCACAATACAATATGATGCAAAGCTAGACCAGGCAACTCAACATAGCAGTAAACAGCGCAACCATGAAATGATGTCATGAAAACAAGATACTAGTCCAGACTAGACGATGTCGGCGGGGGCGGTCCAAGAAAGCAGGAATCGGAAATATTTCGATTTGGAGCATTGCCCGCACCTTGTACATCAGTTCATACTTATACTACAAGACACTGTTCTATCATACTACGTATCGTATATCAGACACTATTGTATACATGATTGCTTGAGTGTATATTGATACACACGGTTTACATCTGTCTGTATACAAAATGAACTGGTATATTTTTAGCACTGGTATATACATACACATCAAAAACGTGCGCCTGCATGTATGTACGTATGTGTGTGTGTATGTATGTGTACAGGAAACATATATATATATATATATATATATATTCATGTCTACATTAACAAATACATAAACACATAGACATATAGGATTGTATGAAAGCATATGCATGTATGCTATGCATGTATGTGTTTTATGCACCTGTATGTGTAGGTACGGATGGTAGACCAGCATCATGCGTGTGGTCGTGCACATAGACACGCACTTTTTTGTACTTGGGTACATCTATGTTATATATTTACGCAAAACACATGTGCAGTCATGCGCAAATGATAAATTACAAGTATATACATACATTCAAGCATTTATTCAGATGTTCTTGGCAACTCATGTTGTGCGACCACCTCGCGCTGCGGTTCACGCGTTGCCTGGACATGTTCTTTAGATCGTGCTCTTAGTCGGCTTGTTGGCTTGTAGCCTGATTGTCGAGCTTAAGCCTCGTAGCCAACTTGCGGTGTAGCTTCCCGGAACCCCAAAAAACAGGACAGTCGAAGGCGAAGTTCAGTCTCTGGGCTCCGGGCTGAGATGTCTAGCATGAGGCCCAGCTTGGAGCCAGGGGTGTAGTGCAATCGGACCAGGAACCTCTCCTCAACGGGCAGACAGATCGATCCCCAGTCTCCTTGCAGCTCCTCTGCGACTCCATGCAGGCCAGTCGCCCAATCGCCGCGACCTGCCCGTGCGCCTAAAGTTAGTGGTGGCTAGCATGAAGGAACGTATGACGCAAAACAGCATTCGCGTGTAACATACTTGCAGTGTAGTGCGAGCACATATTAGATGAAGCTTTGTCCGACAGTTGTTGACAGTTGTTGGGGCTGCGGTCCAGGTCGGTTAACGTTCGACACTACGTTGAATGCCCACTAGTGAAGTGCTGGGTGCTCGGCTGCAGGGACTTCAAGCACAGAGAGAGAGAGAGAGAGAGACAATTGCACACAGACAAACACACCACTAAGTGCTCAAAGAAGCACATGCGAATCATGAAATTACTCACACCGGCAACACACAAACTCAAACACCAATGGCAAGCAGATACAATTGTGAAGCCTAGCATAAGCACTAAGTTATGAATAGGCTCTAATTTTTATTTATATAGAACCTTATCGACTCTGAATCTTACATGTTACCCCAAACCCTAAACCATCTTAAGATAGGACCCAAAAGGCTCTGCGCCGGCTCTCCAGGCCTTTGCCCGGGCTGCAGCTCTCCGGCGTCTCCTGACCCGGCTCCTCCTGCGACGGCTTCGGGTTCCGACTCTCACGACTGGGACATGTCCGGGCGAGTCGTCTGAGCACGTTAGTCCAACTGCAGCTTGCTTAATCGCACTGGACAAGCATCAAGAATGCGAAGTTTCACGCGCCTGCGACTACGATGCGTGTCAAATTAGAGAGCGCAGGCCAAGCGACAAACGTGCTATTGGCCCTTGTTTGCTCTCACAACTCGGCAAGCCAGATGAGGTCTCAAGGTCGCATCGTGGAGCACAGGAGAACAACATAGGTCAACCAGAAACAAAGGAATATTTGCTGAACCCTTGTTGCTTCGCGGCTGAGACAAAATCGCTACCATGTGAAGATTCGAGTTCTTCCAAGGCTCACAACTGTTGAAAAACAATTTAAAGAAATATGGTCTATATACAAGAATTTTGGCCAAGACATGTTCAACGACGAAAATCCAAGCTCAAAAAGAATCCACTCGAATTGGTAGATTTACGTAACGTGCTTGCAATTCTAAATAAAAAGTGGGCATGTGTCGCAAACGTAAGTTCACAGATCCAAATATATACTTGTATAGGTTACCAAAACCTGAGTGCCATGAAAACCATGTGCGAATATGCAAAGCATGTGCTGCACCAGAAAATCCAAGCGTCACGTCTATGCTTGTAGATGACGAAGTTTGAACATACTAGTATTGAAGCAGTTAAAAATCAACGCATGTATGAGTGCGAGAATTTGGGGAACGTGCAACAAACAGAACAAGGAACCACACAGCTACGAGGGAGTTGTAAATCACATACTGACCAGCAGGAACAACGAGAAACCCATGAGGAAATTAAGCACCGTTACAATTGGTGTCTTATGGAACGGTCGGGATGATATGGATATATTCATACCAAACTACGGCAAAGCTTCTTGTATAGACTCCCGTGTCTAGACTCCCTTGTTGAACCCATATCCAATATTCGTGACTACAAGAACACAACAGTATAGAATAGATAGTGTAACATCATCAATATTGAAAGACTAATGTCACGAGTTGAAAACAACGACAGAGGCTCCTGGGGAAATTTCTGGACACCCGATGCGCGTAGACCCACAGAACAATCCAGTCAGATCCGATGATTACCTTTGTTGGGGGCTCTCAACTTCTGAAGGGTGCTATTTGCTTGGAGTGTCGGTTCGCTCCTGGACAGGGGAGAGCCCCTGCTTGAGAATCGCTTGAGGTAGCTGTAGCTGAAGTTCCACTCGATCCTCCTGCCAAGGTGGAAGCTGCACTCAGGCTGAAAGTGCGCTTTGATTGGAGAGCCAATCATAAGGTAAGAACATCAGCGCACAAGCAGGCTGTAATTAGCTAAACACACCCCCTGTGAAGGAGCAACAGACAAAGGCCGCGGCGGAGATGAGCGTCTGATGCGCGACGACCTTCTCCAGTTGCGGTCGAGACTCCCGCACCTCACACGCTCGAGCCTGGGACTCCTTTCACGATCAACTGCCAACATTGGATCCGGATCCCTTTCGGGGCCGCGGCTGCTTCGCAGCAGCATCTGCCACAAAACGCGACATGCTCCATGTCCAAAGACAAGCACCTTCCGAAGCTCCACCGCCTGCAGAACATCGGCTCAGGCTGGAGGCGCTGCAACGTGGGCTGGCGCCGCTGGCGCTGGCCGCCCCATCGCGCGAAGTGATGCGGAAATTCTCCGGTCTGCCCGATGGGTCGTAGGGGATCTAAAAGCAGAGCCGCATCTAGGCCTGGCTCACTCAAATTTCTTGGGGGAGCTTGTGGGCGAGGTCTTGGACACTCGCGACTCGGACGATGGTGAGGCTTGTCCAAGCCCGAAGGGGGCTCATGTGGCCAACAGGGTTAGAGCCTAGAGGTCAGAGTTTCTCTGCAAGCCTCTGCCTCCGGGACCGTTATGATTTCCCCCTCGCGTTCCTCATATCCTTCGACGAAGCTCGCGGTGCAGGAGCGGGCAAGAGCTTGACGTTGAGTAACATGTTTGCACTAAGAAGAGGATCGGCTAAAAGCTGACATCTGGAGGATAACAACATGTGGCCAAAGGATAGCAAAGAATTACCACAGTCAGCTTCACCTCCTCTGCGCCTTGGAACACGGCCATCACGATGCTACCGGCTGCCTGGCTCGTCCACTTGGGTTTCTCGGGTCAGATATTTTCAGTGCCGTTCAAAATTTAGAGATGGTTAAAAGTCTAAGATCAGCAGGCTCCTGATAGCTGCCACCCCATTTTGTCCCGCGCGGCACGGCTTCAGCAAGAAGTTAGACTCCATCACCCGCGTGCCGAAAACGACTCCTTGAGCCCTTGAAGGTCAAGGGGGGGAGGGGGCACTACTTGAAATGAAGCTTCTTTTGAGCCTGGTTCCGAAGCTGCGACGCGTCTCTTGGCGCAGCAGTAGACGGTGTCTGAAACGAGAGACTCAGAGGCTGCCAAGTCCATTTTTCAAGGCGCCTCCTTCTGCCTCCAGGCCCTCAACTCGCCGGCCTGGGTTTTGAAGTCTCAGTCGCAGGGGATGTGAAATCGCAATCATAGCAAGTAGTAGTAACTAAGCGAATGTAGTATATAGCAAAAACTCTCACAAAAAAGAATGCCGGAAGTGGCAGTGCCAATATCTAACAGTTCTAGTACCAGCTTCTGAAATGAACCCCCGCCTTTTGCAACAGGCTGCATCAGCCGCCTAAACCCGAAATTTCCAAACCCTTGACTTCGCACATCCCATCCCCCCTACATTGCCCCTACATTCCCTAGATAAACCCAACTGTGATTTTCCTGAGTAGACCGCGCAACTCTGAATTAGGACAGGGGACTTTGCCGGGGGGTTGAAGCCAAGAGGATCCTGGAATCGTGTTGCCATTGCTTCCAGACGACCTTGCTGCGCGAAAGGTCTAAGAACCGCCCAGCTCACCAACTTCACCTTCGCCCGACACCGACACAGCGTTCTGTCGCCAAGCTGCTCTGGAGGCCCGGCACGTGTTTGAGGTGATCAGCGGAGACGCGAGTGACCAGTCCTGGGAGAAATCTCAGGCTCTCACGGGCGCTTTTGCGCTTTACACTCTTGCATGATTCCCCTGCCTGTGGCATCGCTGGAATGGCCAGGGAGGCGTTTTGTCAACACGGCCCCCAAGAAGAGTGGCCAGGCTTGGGGGCAAAGCACAGCAATCTCGGCACTTTCCGAAGCCCAAGCCCAGACGGAGGTCACCCTCTCCTGGCTCTCTGAGATTGCCTCTCCGGCCTTCAAAAGGAGAGCTGCTTCTTCTGCTGCTTGCTTCGCTTCTTTGGGCCCCTCTTCTCCAAGGATGCAGAGGATCTCCAGGCGGGCGTCAAAGAGGCAAAGCTTCTTGACTTCCTGCCTTCGCTGAGAAAAGCAGGGCTTCTGAAACTTCTCCTCGACTCCCCGGACCCCTCCCGGCCCCTCCGCCCCTCTCAGACTCCCGGGCCTTTCGTTCTCGGGCAGCTCTGCGAGGAAGGCCGCGAGCGGCTCCGCAGCACGCTGGCCCAGGGCCCTGCCGAAGATCTCCCGGGCCGCACCTGAAAGAAGACTCTGCGCGGACGAGGGGCGGCGTTTTTTTTTTTGGCGAAGTCTGGCCCACAGGGACTCTTTTTGTTTCTTATCCTAACGGTGCTTGCGCATCGCGGTACACATTTCCTGGCCTGTGGCTCTGGCTATGGACGAGCCGAGCCATACTCAGTACTCGTGGAAAGCCCTTCAACCCCTACGTATCCAATCAAAACAGGCCCCGCTCGTCGCATCTTCTGATAAGGACTCTCTGGTGACCCAGGTCCCCCACTTGCAGCTTCCGGTGGGAGCGACGTGTCAACTTCCTTGCCCGCATCCAAGCAAGAGGAGAGCGTGTAGTTCGCGGCCTGCAGAGATCAGAGACAGTCAGCGCCCTGTTTACCCTGCGCGAGCCGGCCAGAGCGGTGGGCCTTCTCTTCGCGCTCCTGCCCAGCGGCCCCGGCCAGTCGTTCCAGTTGCTCTTTGAGCTCCTAATGTCTAAAGCCACCCACACATGTGCACATCCGCCTTTCCTCCCCCCTTCACAAAACAAAAAGAGCAGTATATTATACACTAATGTAGAGTACGTAAGTCGTGTAAGTCGGCATGTCGAGAAAGGCCTAGGCACGGCCTTGGAGCGGAGCGCTGCGTGGATCTCCATCGCTTTGAAGCGCAGCTCTGCCGTGGAAAGCTCGGCCGGGGCTTCCTCAAAAAACGGGCTCCCAAAGCAAGGGCCTTAAGGCGGCGTGGTATCTTGACTGCAGTATCTGCTAAAGTACACGTGAGGACAGAGGAAATTGGAGAAGGGGTCCTCGGGCAGGGCCACCACGGCCACCACTGAGAAGGTCGGGCCCGTGCATGCGCAAAGCAAGAAAGTGCTGAAAGACACCTGCAAAGGAAACACACATAGCTCCAAGACCCCACGTGGCAGAATTGTCTCAAAGCATTGACCCAAGTCACAGAGTGGGTCTGCACGCCGGTGGTTTCCTGACCGGTCGTCTCAATGAATTGTTGCATGGCCATCGCCAGGGAGCAAAGACTGCTCCTGAGGCAGCTTTCGTTTGGCGGCTTGCTGACAGCTTTGCGTGAAGCGGAACGTGGCTTACAAGCTTGTTGCCCGAGCTGCAAAGGCAGCTCCCTTTCGGCATCGCAGGCACCTGTGGCGGGATGCGCAGTGGGAAACCTCTGCCCTTCCTTCATCGGATTTCTGAGCTTGAAGCCATTCGCATAGTCGATCAAACAGTCGCCACCAGCCGCCACACAAAGCCAGCGGCCAGTGAATCCCTGATGCGCCAAGTGTCCATGGCAACGGAAGCTCGAAGTCGACAGTCGACAGGCCGTTGCCTTAGGATACCACGTGTCCTGCTTGTTCTCCCAGCGGAGCTCGCCTCAGTGCTTCGCTTCGAGTCTAAGAGCTATTGACACCGGCACCCCATCAGTCTGAGAGCATGGCCGCGCACTTTTATCTCGCGCACTGACAAAGTCTGCATTGCATGATGGGTTTTGCCACCGCACAGCTTCTCCGGGTCTCGGAGTGCGTTTTAGGAGGTTGGGTCGAGGATGCTGCCACGTGATTCAGACGCAATCAGTGGCATTTATATCTGGATTGTGCCGATACCATGGAAATTCCTCGATGCTGTAAGCCGCAGGGCCACGGGCAGCCAATGGCTTTGTGAAAATAGCGTGGGCTCCCAACAGCAGTGCTGTTTTTGCCGTGCATTGTACATGTGCGGCCAAGCGGCTACCAGGCATATGCTGAGGGAAAGCATAACGTTGCCACGCCCTGGACCAATGGATTTCGACTTAGCATAAGCAAGGACAGCATCTGAGAAAGTGACACTGGCAACCGAGGATGCAGAACTTGGCTCGGTCGTCTGCTCCTGCAAAAGCAGATACCTGGCCGCTTGAATGCCGCACCCGTCGGCATGGAGGAGCTATGACTCCTTTTGCAAGGAATCTGCGGTTAGGCGTGACTCTTGACAACCCTGCCACTTTCGAGCTCGAGACACAGCTTTTGCTTCAAGAGCTGGCAAGAGACTTGGAGATCATCTGTCAATACATTGGTCTGGGATAGCTCCATCACCCACCCACCCTTTCAGCTCCAACACGGAGACCACCGCCCTTCCGGGGCCATGCCGGCACCAACTTCGATGTGGTTGCACGCCGGTGTTCAAGGCCCGGGCCGCAAAGCCACGACGACGCTACTGGGCCTGTACTTACTTATAGTCTTCTCCGAACCCACAGGACGGTTGTCGAAAAAGAAGAACAACTCGAGAAAACCTCCCAAACAAAGATGGAACACAAAACAGAAATGAGCTTAGTCGGGAACCACGAGCGTGAACACGACGTTCAGGCCGTGCAGCGCCTCCCGCGGTTCGGGTGGGCAAAGCCATCAACGCGTGCAGCGGGCTTTCAATGCGGCTCAACCTATTCTGCCAGGGTACAGTCTTGAGGGCACCGCCGATGTGCGAGAGTGAAGAGTTCGTCAAATTTTTTTCCAGCCTAGGAAGGCGAACCGAACCGTGTCTGCTAGAAGCTCGGTTCAAGCGGCTTTGGTGGCATTGGGTCCTTTGCCCAGCCAAGATGGCGATGATCAGGACCCTCCGCCAGTGCTCGCCTAACCGTCTGCCTGTCATTTAGTCGGCGGGAGCTCGGGGCAAACATCCCAACACCTGCCTGGAGACTCTCCGCAGCACAATGCAAAGGGCGTCACGAGTGGCCAACCTGCGCGCTAGGTCGCTAGGTTTTACTGCTAAGGTGCTGCCAGCAAAATCTGAAACTTACAAGTGAACGACAGAGCCTATCACCAAGTTTGCGAAGACGGACCTATCACGAGGCTCTCGGCTCTGGGACTTGAAGTTGAAACTCTCCGCGATTAGGCGAGGGGCAGCATGTCTCGATGGGCCGAACGCTTCATGGCTGCAGCCTGAAATGCGACACGACGCACGCGCCGCGCACCAAAACCTGACTGGGTTTGATCCCGGGCCGCAGGCGGTGAAGACCGCGCAGGCGTACCAGGCCAACGTGACCTCTGACTGCGACACACTGTGACCGTAGACATGAGTGAGCCATGGCCATCCTTTTGGCTCAGAAGATGGCCAGCACCCAGTTTCCCCAAAGCCTCGGAAAGCACAAAAGTCACGCCTTGAAAGCTGCAGGGCGGCTCTCTTTTCAGCTTCAGCGGCGCCCGCTCGATGACGCTGCCTGGACACGAGGGTGGGTGTCGGAGTCATGGTGTTGTTGGGATTTCGAACATGCCTCGAACGATTCCTCAACCGGGGCTCCTCCCCTAGCCCAGTGGGCCCCAAAGCAGACAGCAGGAACGCATCCTTTGCCAACAGAACAGCCATACGTAAACGCAGAAGAACCCCAACCCCAACCAGCAAACCCGAAATGCTGAACCTTCTACCCAAGGAACGGCAGGCCATCGCAAGCCAAGCACGACAAGCAGTCTCCGTGAACATACCCTGGAGCACTTAGGGACAGCCACGATGATCAAAACAGGTGCATCAGAGGCGACATACAACATCAATAGCAAAGTAACACAAGTCAATAAATTGATACTAGTCGTTACAACAAACACACAATAATAAACAGCTTCTAGTTTCTTATAACATGTACACACACACACATATATATATATATATATAGATCGACAGATATAGTTAGGATATATTTTTGGCACCATATTTATATTTATATATATATATATTAGTACACATGCATACACCCGTCCATGCATGCATACTCATGATTTCACACGTATACACACATGTACACATACATCTACACGTGCGTATGTACATGCACGTGCGTTTGCAGATCAATATATACGTATGCCCATGCTTCTGCAGCGACATGTGCACATGTATGTATGTTCAGTATGGATGTATGCGTGCATGCATAAGTATAAATACATACATATGCAGACACTTTTACGTATCAGATTAATATACATATGCCATCGTATATGCGCACGTGTATGTCTGTATGTACTGTATTGCTGCATGTATCTCCCTCCCGCTCTGCCGCAAGTATGTATGTTGTAGGTACATATGTACGTATGTTATATGTACGTATGTATGTATGTATGTATGTATGTATGTATTTATGTATGTATGTATGTATGTATGTATGTATGTACAGTACGTGTGTAATTATATGCATGCATGTCTGTATTAAAATGTCACCCCCTTGTGAGCACCGGAATCGTGAGTACGCCTCCCAATGTCCAGCCCGCATCTCGCAAGGCCATGGCAGGGTGCTCAAGCTACAAGTGCATCCACGGATGTCGGGTTTGTTTCGGGTTTCAGGGTTGCAGCTCCGGTCTTGGAGGGGGGGTGGGGGGGTGACTGTTGCGGTTGAGAGCCTGCTAAGGTTTCGTGCTCAGACATCTTCTCTGGTTTGGGTCGTTTTGTTGGCACTCTAACACAACCACAAAGGGATGCAAGTGGAGGTCTTTTTCTGCAGGAATTTACGCAACGCATGGTCAGAACCTGGGCAATCCGTTGATACGCCCCCTTGTTTCATCCCCCCCCACAGGTTGCAATAGAAGGGGTACATGTCCCATTAAATCGAGCGAACTAACCTTGAGCCCGTGCGCCGAAGTGAAATGAACGCTCTGGCCCCATCACGCTTCGGCGGTCGATCTAGACAAGCATCCCAAATCCTCCCGAAGGGCCCAAGCCTGCGATGCCTGCGCTGACATGAGGACAAGCATGCACGTTCCGCGTCAATGAATCCGCAGAGACATACGTGCAATCCGAGAGCACGCTACGTGATTGTTGCACACATAGATCGGCATCAGCTGCACAAGCTGATCTCGAGTGTAGCGTCGACTTCCGTGTGCTCGTCGGATCGAGATCGAAAGCGCTTCATAGCGCTGAGGGGGAGAGCGCTCGCGGTTCAGAGGCTCTGTGTTTAGAGACTTTGGCGGTGCGAAACACTAACTCTCAACCTTTTTTGCACAGGCTTGATTGGAGCCCGCCCGGCCCTGAACTCAACCATGCCCCCTGTAAGCACACGGACCCGCTGAAAACGATGGACTCAGCCCAAAACCCCAACTTGCGATGTCCCCGATGATTTGGAGAATTCCAGACTTGTGGTAAAATGTTCGGAAAATCCTCACAGAAACCGCTGTTTTGCAGATCAGACCACAAGTGGCTCTTGCCGGCGCTTAATGGGGGGAAGGAGCTAAAGGCCCTCAGAGAGCTTGGCACGCTTCGCCGCCGGCGTCAACAGCGACTCCAGCAAACCTCGTGGCTTCGGAGGTCGGTTTCGGGCTCGGGGGTTTTGCAACTATCCATGTCCACGTTATAGCAGTGCTCCACAATGCAAGCGTCAGATTCACTTCTCACTCTCCAGGAAAGAACAAATCGAGAAGTCCTGCTTCGCTCTCTGCCGCATCGAAGGGTTCTTCGAGGCATTTATCTGCGTGCAAGCCACTGACGGCATCCATATCATCAGATTCCTGCACATGGCATGCGCGGATCACAAATAATGCACAGTCGATGCTCAAGTATATAGAACTTGAAGCCTCGTGTTCGTCGTCGCCTTACTCGCACTGTAGTGAACGCATTCGGTGTTTCGGCACTGATGGCTGTCCATCCATCCACCCATACCATACCCTACTATACCATATCATACCATTACATTACATTGCAGTACAGTACATGACATTGCATTGCATAACATTCCATTGCACACTGCACATGCATGCATGCATACACACATACATCATATGTATGCGTACAGACATACAGAAGCAGGCACCGATCATGCAAAAGTATGCTGCAGCAAACGTGCCTGTGCGTTTCTTACCGCGCGAAGCGCACAAAGCTCTTCTCCTGCCTCGATCTTGGGTTTGGGCATGCCGCAGCGATTGCAGTTGTCCCGGGAGGCAAAATTGACATTGCCGCAGTGAGGGCACTTCCAATTCCCGTTCTCACCTTCGGCAACTTTCGGCTTGAGCTCTTGCTTCTACGGCGTAGCTTCTGAATCGCTTTCAAAGCTAGCAGGGCGAATCGAAGGGGCCTGCCACCGGCGCCTTGCCCTTCTGGCTTTTTCCGCCCTTGCCTGGGCCGGGACCTGTCAGAGATACGGACAAGTGCTCGCCTTGGCAGGGGATGGTCGTTCTTCTCTTCGTGTCTCAGATCTCCTGGCCTTGATCGGGCTTCGCAGCACCACAACGATTGCAGGCCGTCCGATGGCCAAAGTTCACCTCACAGCGAGGAGAGCAAACTGCACTGCAGCTTAGTAAGATGCCTCGCACTCTCAGGATGGAGCATTGTTGCAAGCAGGGCAGCGCCAATTGCCATCCACTCCGACGACGGGGGCGCCGCCCTTCTGGCCCCCCTTGGCGGGCACGGCCTCCCAATCACCGGGATGGTATCCTTTTCCTGGAGGAGCCTCCCAATCGCCCGGATGGTATCCTTTGCCTGGAGGGGCCTCCCAAGCACCCGGATGATATCCTTTGCCTGCTGGCGCGGCCCAATCACCCTTCTGGCCCCCCTTGGCTGGCACGGCCTCCCAATCGCCCGGATGAAAACCTTTGCCCGCTGGCGCATCCCAATCGCCCGGATGGTATCCTTTGCCTGCTGGCACGGCCTCCCAGTCTCCCGGGTGGTAGCCCATGGGTTCCCAATTGTTGGGATGGTATCCTTTGGGTGCCTGCCCTTTCCCTTCAGCATAATCCCAGGACCGCTTCCTGCTCGCCCAGTTCTCCGTCGGAGCCTCCGCCATCTTGGGTGTGCCGCAGCGGTTGCATGTGTCGCGGAAGCCAAAATTGACGTTGCCGCAGTTGCTGCACTTCCAATTGCCATCCACCCCTGGGATGGGAGCTCCCTTCCTGGGCTGAGCCCACTCGCTCTGACCCGGTGTAAAAGGCCCCGGCGCCGCAGCGGGCCTTGCTGCTGACTTTGGAGCTGCAGTGGTCCCTAAATGCAGCTCAGCTTTCGGGAAGCCGCACCTGTTGCAAACATCACGGGAGCCGAAGTTCACGTTGTTACATGCAGGGCATTGCCAGTTGCCGTCCACCCCAACCACGGGGGGACCCTTTTTCCCTGACCCTCCTTTCCCAGCTGGGTATTGAGGGGCGGCACGTGGCGCGCCACAGCCTTAGCCACCGAGCACGACTCAGCTCAAGATCCCTCACAGTCGCTACATAGATGCGGAAAAGCCAAGCCACGGTTACATGACTCACGCGACGCAAAGTTCACATTGTTGCACCTCACATCCCCACAGTCCCCACAACTCCACGAAGTTGCGCCACTTCGAAAAGCCGGCGCGCACGAGAGCAAGTCTGAGTCGCCAGCGCTTGACCTCGGTACTTCACAAGTCCCCGACAGCGCGAAGAAAATCGCTATCACCAAAAAACAGTGGTAGACACATACTTGTAGGATAGGAATCTGAACCAGAAAGACTGGTACCAGTAGCAGTCATCGTGTCTAAGAGAAGCCAAGAAGCAAAGCCAGTTTCCATTGACGCCTGCCACTGGTGCTGGCATGGCGTGAGCTCCCCGCCAGGCTCGATCGATAGTAAAAATCAAAGCCTCCAAATGTTGGCTTCGGTTATCGTGCACTATACACGAGTGTAGTCTGATGGAAACTGCCCTGCTTTGTCTCCGTCTTCGGCACCTATAACCTCCTCAGTGAGCCTCGGGGTGCTGGCGTGAAGGCTGAGTGGAGTTCTGGCACGGCGGCTCCGGACCATCTTTATTCTATAAGGCGGGATCTGGGTCTGCCAGTCTGCTCGGCTCCCACTCACGAAGGCGAATGGGCCGGTCTCGCGCCGGCGTCCTGCGGCTCAAAAGCTTTGTACACCTTCCTGCGTAGCACGCTTCAGAGACATAACAAAATCAAGGCATGTTGGGCCGCGCGGCCATCTGAAGAGGGCCCCTGCGGCCCCTGTGCATTTGCAAAGCCAAAGCACTGAAGCCAACCAAGCTTTACAGTGCATAGATGAATTAGGGTGCCAAAAGCTGTATGCACCTGTTGACTATTGTGAGCTGGGACATGGTAACGAAGCTCGCCCACCCTGGTCGCGGGGTTCCCGGATTCCAGGGCTAGCTCACTACAGCGACTGTAGGGTCAAGTGGCTTCTGCGCGATGATCTGCCAGCTCGTGGTAAATAGCCTTAGCTTGTCACCCTCCACGAAGGCCTCTCCATCCTTCGTGAGCCGGTCGAAGAGAGTTTCGAAATGCTTCGGGAGGAGGCCTACCCTGGTCATGGCTCGAAGCAGCATCCCAGTGGCCTCGAAGAATACCCGAGCCTTCTCGATTAAAACGTACTGGCTTCCCGTCCTGCTCGCCTCCTCACTCGAGAGGATCTGAAAACCCGCCTCTCTTAAGGGCTCAATGAAGTCCGAAACCTTCGGGGTCCACACGGCCCCCAGCAAAGGCTTCACCTTCCTGAGAAGCTCTTGGTGTCTGACATCCGACTCATCGAAGTCTGGGAGCTGCACCCAGTCCAGGAAGGAGATCTTTGCACCGGGTTTCAGGACCCGGAACATCTCCCAGAAGAGCTTCAGAGGCTCAACAGTGTAGGTCAGAACCTGCACCTGGACAAGCAACCAGGCAAAGCTACCTTGTGGGGTTTACAGTTGAAGTGCCTATCACGCCTGGTACAAGGCATCGAAGCTCTCGTTTGCAAAAGGCAAGGGGTCGTTGAAATTCCCATGCACGAAGTTCAGCTGCCTGTCGAGGAGGCCGGTGACACTGGCATAGTCCTGCAAACTCTGATCCCACGAGCCCATTTGCCAGGAGCAGCTATACAGCCACAACACCCTACAGCCACAACGCCCTACCCTTTGTCCTCTGCCACTCGGAGTTGGCTCTGGTCGATGTTCAGGCCAGTGACATGGGCCCCAGAATGCCGGGCCACGTGGTGTGCGATGCGCCCTCGGCCACAGCCCAGGTCTAGGACCCGGGCACCACGTGCCAGATCCAGGCGCTGAGACATGGACTCTTCCCAAAGCAACTGGTTCTCGAAGACACTGAGCGTCGGATCGAGAACCGGTGGGATGTACATCTTCTCCACCTCCCCCACGGCACAAAGGTGGTTGAGCACCTTGTAGTACTTCACCGTGTTCTCGAAGTCATGGCTCCCGGAAACACGTTCCTGGTCAAACAGCTCGTAAGAAGCCAGGAAGTCTTTCACGTCTTGGTCTGGCAGCGTGTAGATGGCCATCAGGGCACGGAGTGAGGTGCTGGCCCTGTACCAAAGCACTGCAGGGCTCAGATTCGAACCACGGAACTTTCCGAATGCGATTGCCATCATCACAGTTACTGTCACTGTGGCCGCAAGCAGCCGCATAGTGCCAGGAAGGGCAGCGCTTGACTTCGCCGTCGCTCTGCTTGAGTTTAAACAGCTCCGGAAGTGAACTGCTCGTCAGACTCTGCCGCAGATCTAAACCACGTGGCAAAAACACCTCTGAATCGCCACAAGTCGACTCTCCGTTTTATTTATGGTCAAGTGTCTCCTAAGCTAGCCGCGCTCCTTCGCTGCTCCGTTGACGCTACGACTATCCGACTACACAAAGCAGCTGACGCTGCTTGATTGGGGACTGTGTTGTTTGAGACGGCCTGCAACTTTGGGGAACTCGAAGCAAACGGGCCAGACAACGTGAGGGCACGTGCAACAAAGGCTTGCTGCGTTCCCACGCAGAGCCTCTTTTTGAACATGCACGCGGTCTGACGCCGTCGCGCCCGGTAATAAAGGTCTTTGTGTCCATCCAATTGAATGGCGATGGCATCGCGCCAGATGGGGTGAGACTGATCCACGGGGCTGCAAGACCTGGCCACAGATCCCCGGGCAAACCTGTACAAAGCAGACGAACCTCGCAGCCTCCTGGATCCTATGCCCTATGCGATCTCAGGCGCTGCATCCTCCCAGGGCATGACGACTCTTTGTTTTCCTATAAGAGCACCCAATGGGGCCCAAGAACTGGCTCAATGCGTCCAGGCTTTGCGGCGACCCTGCAGGGTTCCGGGGACCCTGCCTCCACATCCACAGGCTTGGCTTTCCCGCCTCGCCCCCGAGGCCGCCTTCCCAACTGCGACTCAGAGACTCTGGTGCTGTCTGCCACGAGCTGCCTCCGGCGACGGCGTCGCGGTTCGGCCGGCTCCTCCGCCTCCACGAAATTGACAGATGCGATGATGCGATGAGGGAGAGGCCTGGGAGACCTGGATGACATTCACTCCGAATCCGAGCATCGACTGTTAGGCTCAACGCATAACCTCCCGAGGCCTGATGGTCGCTAGTTTCAAGGGTTCTTCTTTTCTCGCTTCCTCAACTTTGTATGTACATCAACAGCCACAACGACGACGACCAATACTAACTAGGAGCTGCACCACGACCACCAGCAGGACTGCCACTAGTACTCCTCCTCCTGCTGCTCCTTTTGCCAACACCAGGACGACCACGACCTTGACTGCTACGGCCCTGCTGCCGCCACTCCGACTCTAATTGCAGCAACTCCTCCTCCCCCTCCTACTGTTTGTTACTACTGTCCCTCCTGCTTTTCTTGCTGCTGATGCATATGCTGTTGTTGTTGGCCTATGGACGAGGATGATTGTGATGACGGTTATGATGGCGATGACGGCTCACCTTTCGGCGATCTGGAGAATCGCACTTGGCGCCGTTCAGGACCATGAGGAGAGCTATCTTGAAGAAGCAGCCGCTCGAACTCGCCTGGTCATCTGAGGCCTCTTCGAAGGTCACCTTTTGCGGCTCCATCTCAATGTCTGCGCGGGCTCGCCTTGCAAACGTTTCAGTGTGTTTGGGTTGCCTCTTTGACGAATCGGCAAATGCTTCGGTGAGTGGCGTTGTCTCCGCTTCCGTTGGCTTGCTGCTTTCGACCCAAGCCTCACAAGCTGGCATGCTCTGAGTTCCGGAGTTTAGGGCAGCCCGCGTTTCACGGCTTTCCAGCAATCATATGGAGCCGAAAGATAATTACAATAGTGGGCCTCTTATAAGAAACTAAATATTGCTGCCCTTCGTCCCCCCTCCCTGCCGGCTCGTTGGAGGGAGTCCGTTTAGCATTCGGGCTTGGCTTTCGCCGCCGCCCTCGGCGCCGCCGACGCCGGGCTGGCACCTGAGATCATTCGGAGCAGAGTTCAGGCATTGGGATCGGCATTCATATGATGCGGCATGTGATGCCGAGTGGGAGAGGGTGTGTTTGCGCGCGAGAGGACAGACAGATGCCTAAGCACACGAATAGAAGCAACGATCCGACAAGAACAACAAAAAACACAAAGTTACAAAGGGTATGAGATTACACACACCACAGGGCACGACATGGCGAAGGGTAAGATCTATGACAAGAGACACATGGCGAGACATGAGATGGTAAGGCAGTAGCAGGACCCGGATTGGCAGCAAGAGTCGTGATGTCCAGCCCGAGTTGCGGCATCTGCATCGGTGTCAGCTTCCACCTGGTCACACTTCGGGGAAGCACAGCTTGTCGTTGGGTTCCTCTGCTTCGTCTTTAACCGCCCCCAAAAATCCTCGAATCAACCGCCCAAAGTCTGAAGCCACAATTGTTAACCCCCAAAGCCCTAGAGCCCAAATCAAACCACGACCAGCGCACCTCGGGGTGCTCCAGAGATATCTCCGGCTGCCGTTCCTTTGCCCCTTCCGTCTCTGCAGGCTCCTAGGAATCGGCTTAAGAGCGAGAAGTATTCCTTTAAGTAGGATTTGGGATGCTATAGGGTGGTACACCCCTACTAATCTGGGACATGTCTTTAAGGTTTTGTCGTTCTTGATTTGTTTTCGACAAACACTGTAGCATCTCTTGTTCACGCGTTAGCTTTGCAACGTTTCTCACTGGCCATCCCAGGGGAGAAGTGCAACTGCGACTCTGCTGGTGGAGTTTAGTTGCGGTGGCGGTCATATAGATATAGATATTTACTAGCTTTCGCTTTCCTTGGACTGGAGAAACAGCGCCTGTTCGAAAGGTACTCCTCTACAAGTCGCAACAATAGAAACAGTAACAATAACAATCAACTAGTTGCAGGGGTGATTTTTTATCCGAAGTTGCAGGGCTTCGATGACGATGATGACCATGATGAAGAAGCAGGCGATATTCAGGATAATGACGATGTTGATGCTGACAATGAAACTCGCGTGAAGTTTGGCCACCCTGCATCTGACCTTTCCTGTGTTTGCACATTGCGCATGTTTCTTGCTTTTTTCGGTTTGGGCGGGGGGAAATTTTGGCGGTAGAGGAGGAGGGGACTGCGGTGGCCAAGCGATGGGGGGCTTAAGAACGTGCGTCGTGGTCTATAGCCGCATGACAGGCTCGTTTTCCTCGTCAAACAAATCCGCATCGTCAGTGTCTTCGAAATTCTGCTGTGCATCCGAGGCGGTGCCTAAACAAAGTTAACGAAACTTGGCAGCTCCGTGTAGTGTTGCAAAATGTTGAAAAGCCAAACACCCCAACAGCATACTCCATGATACTCATTAATAGTCCACAATCTCCGGGCAACCCGAAGCAACCAATCCCTC